TTATAATGGGAAACAACGTGCTTTAAATTAGTGAATTACAATATTGGAACCAAAACTTTAATCTAAATACTGAAATAAAACTCAAGAACCTTTTTTTTTTCCTTGTGGACCATCCTAAGGACAGAAATACGTTGGCAGTTTTGGTTGAATGTCTGTGTTAATTAAAAATATTTGTTTCTTAAACCAGCATACATGTCCAGTATACAAAGAGCATACAAAGATATAATTTTATTGTATCTAAGATACAACAAAAACCATAAATTTGAGTGCTCACACATTCACTGATTTCTCTACACTCACAGAGCAGAATATTTGCTTCGAGTCCCTCAGCCTCTGTGCATTCTTTTCCAGACTATTAAACTGGTTTCATGTGCTTTCTAGCTGTAGAGTGACACAGCCTTCATCTGTCTGAATAATTAATGACTCTGTACAGTTCTTCAACGGTTACAAACTGACTGATGCTAATGTTTAGCACTGAGATCTTCGAGCAGTGCTGTGACATTGTCTTATGCTCCCACAATTATTAAATGTAATTGAAAATAAAATTTCACCACTGTGTTCTGTGTCATTTCTAAACCCCAGTGTGTTCTCCTGAAGGGTCCGAACGAGCCTCAAGAATATCAGAGCACAGACAAATAAGCATCCACACACAGATGCTTGATAACATTTGGTATATATGGTACTATATCTGACACTGACTTGCATCAATATGACAGTTTGGTTCCATGTTGTCGGGCTGATGAACACTTACCCAAACAGGAAGTCTTTTGATCCAGGTCAAGTATGTACCAGGACTATTGTTCACCCACAATGTCTGTCAACCTGGGGCTTATAAAGTATTTCCTGTATAGATGCTCTGACAATGTCAGAGGTGCTGTTAATAATTTCCAGGTCATCAACCAGAAGCAAAGAAAGCTGTTCTGGTGCCCGACAACTCCCCAAACTCTCTCAGCAAGCAGTAAACAGTGCTTAACAACAGGGACCCACTAATTATTTATGGGTTACACATCATTTGCTAGTCATTGATGAATATTTGATTATGTAAGCTATTTCAAAATGTTTTGGGAGGCTAAATATTACCAAGATGTTAAAAATGAACCTAGACAAATGCTTTGATTTCCTAACTGTTCTGAAACAAGAATATATAATAAATATCATATTATTGTGTGCTATAAATGCACAGCAAACACAGCTTGACATTATCTTCAGAGCATAGCTCTCTTCAAAGATAATTAATTGCATGTGAACCGACCCTCAACCACATGCGGTCAAAGGAACTGTGTGGATCCTCAGTGTCAGTGTCCTCTTCAGGCTTCAAGGCAATAATCTGCAGTCTCATTCATTTCATTTTAGATATCAGGACTATTTTCACAGGGATTAGAAATAAGTGTAGTAATGTGGTTCAATCGAGCGATGTTGGGATTGTTACAAGATTGTTGGAGGCAGTGTTGAGTGTGAGTTTTGGCTGTAGTACATCTCAAAATGAAATGTCTAAATGATGACATTTTCCACCTGTTTAGAGAAGAGCTTTGATGAGAACATAACTGTGAGTGCCAGGAATCCAAATATGTATCTGTTGCCTTTTATGTGAGTACTTTAATGTGAGGATAGACTGTTGTAGCAGCATCCAGCAACACATTAGCCAGGTATTAAACTGTTCCACGCTGCAATACTTGCTGGCAGGTTTATTTAGTCTAGACTGAATCTCTTCTCCTTTCATTTACATGGTCTGGCCTCATAATAGAGCTGATTTGGCCCATCTCAGGGAACTGAGAGTTGAATCAAGTTTGAGGGGAAAAAGGATGGAAAGAGAGAATGAGAGACAGATTATGTCTGTCACTCAGAGCTTCATTACATATTAGATTTATTAGCTGCTTCTGCTTCCAGCTGTGTTTCAGTCTTCTCCACTTTCCACAGCTCACACTGTGTGTGTGTGTGTATCTGTGCATGTCTGTTACAATGTGAGCTCTATGGGAAAGAGGATCTTCACCCTTTTTCTAGGAATATCCCAGTCAGATAGGGAGCTTTGATTCTGGTTGTTACATATTTCATAGTCTAGTTCCTTACTGACTCTATGCACACAACACACACACAAACCAACCACACACAGAGAAAGTAAGGTAGAATCAGTGTGTGTCAGAGATCAGATTCAACATGTATTGTAACCACTAAGGTCCTCTGAGGTGAGGAGCAAAGTGATACTTAATGACAGGTTTTAGTTTTTACATCCCAGTGTGGAGGATCAAAGAGTCCCTGTGTTCCTTTCTCTGGCTGCAGCTTTAAACAGGTGAAGTGCTGTATAGGTTGTGCTTCAGTGAGTCAGGGATTCACCCTCTGAGGGTCATAAAGATGTCAGTGAGGGAGGCTTATTTTCTTCTCTCAGACTGACACTGAGAAGTTGAATCTGGATGTTTCTTTA